AATGGATATTTTTCGAAGCATAGTTTGAAATTATTTAAGTTATTTAGTATTGTCCGACACTGTATATAGATATGATTCTAGTACTTATGTATTCTTAATGTGATCTCATTTTTTTGTTTATGTAAGAAATTAATTTTTAAACTGTACATACATATGTATATGTATGTTTTTTACGTTTCTGGGCCGTTATCTTATCCATTAACGATTTAACTATACTTTAAAATAGGTAAGTTGGCGGCCCTTAATATGCTTTATGTGTTACACAACAAGTTTTTTTGTTGAATAAAATATTAATTCTTTCCATTTTTAGCCACAACGACGATTTTTAGCTCTTTTTTAGCCCTTTTTTAACCTGAATTTAGCTACCGCTAAAAATGTTTCGCGGCAACACTGATTATAACCCTCACAACGTAGAATTCTCCTTTTTGTGTTGCCAAAGAAAAGGGGCAGAACACCTTTTGCAGAGAGCACCTTTCTGCGTTGGCGGCCTTCGGCTGCGCTTAGGGATTATAACCCTCACAACATAGAATTCTCCTTTCTGCGTGCGAAGAAAAGGAACAGAAATTCCCTTTTCACAAAAGTATATTTCTTGTGCATTATTTGGGTATTTTTAAAGTTGAAATACAAATTGTATTAATAGAGTGGCAGCACCAGTTTTCCTCCACCTTATTTATATTAACTACACAAGATTGTTGTGAGGACTTTCACCATCGGAATATTGCTATTNCCCTTTTCACAAAAGTATATTTCTTGTGCATTATTTGGGTATTTTTAAAGCTGAAATACAAATTGTATTAATAGAGTGGCAGCACCAGTTTTCCCCCACCTTATTTATATTAACTACACAAGATTGTTGTGAGGACTTTCACCATCGGAATATTGCTATTAATACAGAATTTCGCGAAAGTGTGCACTTAAAACATCACAAATGTATAAAAACTAATAAATACGTGTTAAATTAAGTTCATTTATTCCATTCATTTGCGTGAAATTCATCAAAACATAGTGCGGAAAGTGCAAGTGTTTTTTGCAAATAACTCTTTGATTAATTTAAAAATGTTAATTTCCGGTCTCGGATTTTTATTATTGGCGTTAAGATCCGTCTATTGATACCACGCTCGAACTTTTTCCTTCCATTTTGACCTACCTTCGCCGAAGTGCACTACTACCGCGTGCTCTTGTGTCTTTCGCTCATGGGAATAATTGGGGTGTTCACAGTTCGTTTCAAATTGTGTCTGAAAATGTAGGCGTCTACATTTGGAGACATCTTTAGCATCAAACTGTGAGCACCCCTTTCTAGCAGCCGTCGCAAAATCGTCTCAAAACTTTGCTGGTGTT